CATTATTTCTGCTGAAAAGGTTTGATTTGAATCATCCTAGTAAAACCAGACCGATTGTCATCTCTATTTTTATTGTTCACCCTGGCTTTGGACTTTGTTCCGCTTTTATATCAACTCACTTTCCGTGAGTGTTACCATATTTCATTCTGACGTAGCCGGGATAGAGGAAACACGACCTTTTAGGACGCAGCTCTTAGGCGCCCTGTTTCCGGGTTGAGCGGCGTCGGCGTCGGCGTAACCGCGCGTTGCATTATGGGACGTTTCCCTGCTAAAGTTAGCGAGGAAATTTTCCCGCTAAATTTAACGGGGAAATCTTTTCTGCTAAATTTAGCATATAAATCTGTCCGCTAAATTTAGCGGAAAATTTTCCCACTAATTTTAACTGAAAATTTTCCCCGATAAATTCAGCGGAGAAATTGACGTCACGTGACATCAACACCAATTCAGTTGCCCCGCCGGGGAAAATGACGCCACGACTTCGTGTAACTTCAGCCATGAACAAATTCAGCGGCAGGAGGAGAGAAGGAGGAAAGAAGGAGGAGCAGGAGGGGAGAAGGATGAGGAGGAGGAGAGGAGGAGGAGGAGAAAGGGGCATCCGCTCCCCTCCGTACCCTCCCCTCCTCCTCCTTAAGAGCTGCGCTCTAGTTTCGTATTTCAAAGATTTTTAAACGTATTTCACTTTTTATTTTCCGTTCAAATAAGGTAAAAAATGAAATCAATGGTTCTTAGACGCATGGTAAAATGTGGAGATTTTGCAATGCGGTTTCGGTATACTACATAAAAGGTCATTTCATAAATTAATATTCAGAAACTACTAAAGCTACAGTCCTCTACACTGGTTATAATTGCCCCCGTTGTTTTAGAGCGCAGCTCTTAGGGGCCCGTTCCCGGCTTGAGCGGCGTCGCCGTCGGCGTCGGCGTCGGCGTCGGCGTAACCGCAACCCTCGTAACCCTCGTGAGGGTTACGAGGGTTACGAGGGTTAATCTCATGAGGGTTACCCTCACGAGGATCACGAGGGCCACGAGGGTTACTTACCCTCGTAACCCTCACGAGGGTTACGAGGGTTAGTTACCCTCAAAAGGGTTACCTTCACGAGAGTTACCCTCACGAGGGTTACTTACCTTCGTAACCCTCACGAGGGTTACGAGGGTAAGGTGGCGGGGGGCCACGAGGGTTACTTACCCTCGTAACCCTCACGAGGGTTACGAGGGTTAGTTACCCTCAAAAGGGTTACCTTCACGAGAGTTACCCTCACGAGGGTTACTTACCCTCGTAACCCTCACGAGGGTTACGAGGGTTAGTAACCCTCATGAGGGTAACCTTCACGAGGGTTACCCTCACGAGGGTCACGAGGGTTATGAGAGTTACCCTCACGAGGGTCACGAGAGTTACCCTCACGAGGGTCACGAGAGTTACCCTCACGAGGGTCACGAGAGTTGCCCTCACAAGGGTTACTAGGGTTACCCTCACGAGGGTCACGATAGTTACCCAGGTCACGTGACCGCCCCTGGGGTCACGTGACCTGGGGATACCCCCGAGGTCACGTGACCCCCCGTTGACGTCATAGCCACTGCTGACGTCATCAGTGACGTCACTGATTACGTCACCGGCATCCGCATCGTCATCATCACTGATGACGTCATCAGTGACGTCACTGATGACGTCACCGGCATCCGCATCGTCATCATTATCATCACTGATGGCGTCATCAGTGACGTCACTGATGACGTCATCGGCATCGTCACGTGGCCCCAGGTCACGTGACCCCCCGACGTCACGTGACGTCCCAAGGTCACGTGACTCCCACAAGGTCACGTGACCCCCAAGGTCACGTGACCCCCCGCCACCCGAGGTCACTTGACCCACCCCCTCAGTACCCTTCCCTCCTCCTCCTCAAGAGCTGCGCTCTAATTCGGCGTTACAGGGAGTTGTAAACGGCTTTCATTTTTAGAGCGCAGCTCTTAGGGGCCCGTTCCCGGCTTGAGCGGCGTCGCCGTCGGCGTCGGCGTCGCCGTCGCCGTCGCCGTCGGCGTAACCAAGGTCATCCCAAGGTCACGTGACCCCCAAGGTCATCTCAAGGTCACGTGACCCCACGTGACCCCCTGAAGGTCACGTGACCCCTCGAGGTCACGTGACCCCTTCCAAGGTCATCTCAAGGTCACGTGACCCCAAGATGACCCCACGTGACCCTTTGAAGGTCACGTGACCCCCAAGTCACGTGACCCCTCTGAGGTCACGTGACCCCCGAGGTCACGTGGTCGCCTCCCCAAGGTCACGTGACCCCCGAGGTCACGTGACCCCCAAGGTCACGTGACCCCTTCCAAGGTCATCTCAAGGTCACGTGACCCCACGTGACCCCCAGGTCACGTGACCCCTCTGAGGTCACGTGACCCCTCTGAGGTCACGTGACCCCCCGAGGTCACGTGACCCCTCCAGGTCACGTGACCCCAAGGTCACGTGGGGGTCACCTTTGGGGTCACGTGGCCTTGAGGTCACCCCCAGGTCACGCCTCCCCGAGGTCACGTGACCCCCTCCCCGAAGTCACGTGACACCCCCCCCCGGAGCATATTAAAGAATGAGGGGAGGAGGAGGAGAAGGGGGAGGGGTCTACCCTCCCCTCAGTACCCTTCACTCCTCCTCAAGAGCTGCGCTCCAATTCGGCGTTACAGGGATTTGTAAACGGCTTCCACTTTTTTAATCAGCGTTCTATGGAAAATAATTATTTAAGTTTCCTGACGTGTTACAGGATTTTTTTATATATTAAAACTAAATTCTGCTAGTGAAGTGCAGAATGACCGTATGCGCATAAGGCATCCCAGCACAGTTCATATGAGTGAGCGTATTTGACTTGAGTGAACGCTCGATTCTTAGATTCATAGGTAAGCTTTTCTCCGCATCCGTCAAAAGGCCGGTGAGGTTTTCTCCGCATCGAGCAGTTTTGCTTCGAGCTTTTCTCCGGTGAGCTTTTCTCCACCGCCCTACGTTTAACGCGGCGTTTTCCGAATAACGCCGAGAAGTGCACAGCCAAGGGATACCGTTCATTCACTTTGATTTCGTCCAACGATCCGCATGGACAATCAGGACTGAATAATTGCAGTCTCGTCCTTGCAGACAGTGGTGGATTGGGGCTAATCCGAGAAGCTAATTTTCACTTCATTATCATTACCTCTTGACTTGAGTGCGCTTCAAAGTAACCAAAGTGCGATTGATCGTACCGCTTCCTCGTAAGCTTTCAACGGGACCTTTCATTTGCCATATAGGTTAAGCGGCGCACTATACAGCCGCAATCACACTGCGCACATATACAAGCGACACGATTTTCGCTACAGACACGATGAGTGAATCAACTGCGGACCCGCCTCATGCATGCTTGGCGCATGTTTTAATACGTTAGCATAAGAACACTCGTTTTGACGAAAACCCGGCGGAACCTTTTGTTTGTCAGTTTGTGCGATGCTCCCATCGGTCCGAAGCGCTGACGTGAGGACGCGTTAACCTCTTTCTCTCTCTCCCCGCGGCGCAGACAAACTGACAGACACCGCCGGGTTTTTGTCAAAACGAGCCCTTTCGTTTTCGGCAAAGTCACGCGCACAGCTAGCGCGGAGCCAGAGAGGAGGGACGGCGCGCAACACCACCTAGATAACAAAGCCGAAGTGCTGAATGAGATGGATTAATTGGAGAAGGTCAACGCTGGACGCAGATTTGAAACAAGTGCTGCGTCAGCGCTCGGCTTCGAGTCAAGTTTGAACCGGACGTTGACGCAACCGTCGTGTCCAATTTGTGACCAGCATTGGCCTTCTCTGATGACGTCATCTCATTCAGCACTGTGGCTTTGTTATCTATGAGGTGCGCCGCGGCGCGGTGGAAGGCGGGCGTGCTGAGTTGCCGCTCTGCCGTCGCTGGTTGTTCTTCGCTCTGGGTTTCCGTGGTAGCGGTGCGTGGGCTGTGATGTGTGCGTGTATATAAAATGATCGATGTTGTTCACTCCACGAGTGACATGGATGTGGTTCTTTCCACACGTTATATGGAAGACCCTATCCAAAGCCATCGACTTACTCTGATAAGCAGAGTACAAAAATGAAAGACGTTTAAAATCCCCTGTAACGCCGAATTAGAGCGCAGCTCTTGAGGAGGAGGAGGGAAGGGTACTGAGGGGAGAAGGTGGAAAGTCCCCCACTACTAACATGAATGTGGATTGACGTGTGCTGAACGCAAGTCCCAGAAAATGCACATCTTCGGTGAGAGCATCGCGTGTAAATTTGGCGGGAAATTAGCGGGGCAATTTTTCCTTTAACTTTATCGGGAATTTTTTTCATTAGATTTAGCGGGGAAATTTTTTCCGCTAAATTTAGCGGAAAATTTAGCGTCGTCGTCATCGTCACTGATGACGTCATCAGTGACGTCACCAGTGACGTCACGTGTGACGTCATCAGTGACGATGACGATGACGTCATCCTCATCGTCATCTTTATCGCGCGGTTACGCCGACGGCGACTGCGACGCCGCTGAAGCCGGAAACGGGCGCCTAAGAGCTGCGCTCTAAAAAATGGTGAAAAGATTACAGGAAGTCCCATGGGTGGATTCTTGGGGAATCCGTTAGCCTGACCCTTGGAAAGCGCCACAGACATCCCCCTTTAGGAAACGCTATCAGTGGTCCCCGTAACGAGGCCGAAAACAGGCAGTAAAAAATAGAGGAACCAAAAGAGAAAGCCAAAAGAAAAAAGTGAAGGTCTCAGCGTTTCCCAAAGGGGGGCGAGCGTGGCATTTCCAAGGGTCATGCTAAAGCATTCAAGAACACCAATATATCTTTAAGTTTTTGCTTTCTGCGTGTGCATGCTTCGAAGGTGCGTGCAGCCAGCTTTTGTACGACCAGTGTGACAAACAGGAAAGGAGCACGCCTTAGACGGTGTCTGCAGACCGTTTTTTGTATAATGTACCAGCAGGGTGGCCGCAGCGTAATGCGGCATCGCTGTCTTTGCCTCTTTCACGCCTCGTGCAGAAGACCCGAGCGGCAAGCGCGTGCTGAGCTCCACGTACTGTGGCAGCGCGGCGTACGCGTCTCCCGAAGTACTGCAGGGCATTCCGTACAACCCCAAGATGTACGACGTGTGGTCTCTGGGCTGTATCCTCTTCATCATGGTGACCGGCACCATGCCCTTCGACGACACCAACATCAAGACTCAGATCCGGCTCCAGATGCACCGCGACGTGCGCTTCCCGTCCAACTACTCGATCAGCTCGTCCTGCAAGAGCCTCATCCGCCACATGCTCGAGCCGGACATCGTGAAGCGCGCCACGCTCAAGCAGGTGCTGCGTCATCCGTGGCTCGAGGAGGGCGTGGCGGTCGCCTCGTGAACCGGGGCGCGGGACGCCGGCCCCTCCGATCGGGCCTCGACTCCCTACGACCGGGTCTCGGCTCCCTCAGGCCGGGCATCGGCTTCCTCACCGCCGGAGCCCTGAGCTCGGCAGCAGCTGTCGGTTCGGGCGGCGCCGGCGGGCAGAGGCTACCTCGGCACGCTCTGCCGCCCAGAGCGAACCAAAATTCCCGTCGCCATCGCGGACGCCGACGAACACCATCAATAAAGCCCACACCACGTAGAGGCGCCCTTCGTTTTTAAAGAGTTTTGGGATAGGGGGCCCCGTCGCTTTGGTCCCCCGAGCAGCTGGGTGTACCCAAAACCGTCGGGGCCCCTTATTCTAAAACTACTTTTTATATGCTATATTGTCTTCCGGGCCAAACTATAGGGTCTGCTAAGTCGGCAGCGTGCTTGGCTTCCATGCAGGTGGCCAGGGTTCGGTCCCTGCCAACGCCTGTTTTTTTTTTCTTTTGATAATCTAGAAAGCTCGGGTGTGTGTCTGTGTAAGAGCGCGCGTGCTTACGTAAGTGCGTGTGCGTATTTGCATGTGTGTGTGTGTGTGTGCGTGTCTGGGCCCGCGTGCGCGCACCTGTATATACACACATATGCATAGCGTCCTCTATACTCCAAAGCCTGGCAGTTCGACCACGGAGCCATAGAGTGCCCAGTCGCAGATTTGGATAGCGAGGATCTGGTAGCACATGCAGAGCATCAAAGAGCCATTTCTCGGGGAACCTGGACGTCAGCGCACAGCTTTTGCAGCGGCGAGGACCCGAAACACACTTGTTCGCTCGGGAGAAGTGTGTTTCGGCGTGTCACCGCAGCGAGGCGTCAATCACGTGGCTCTCCTCTCATCCGTTGTCTGCCGCTCCACCTTTTCCATTTCGGCGGCCGGTTCTCGTGGCGATCTGCCAGGCTTTGCCAGTATATAGGAGGCTATGATATATGTCTCTGCGTAACACGCACGCGCGCGCCCGTTTTTGTTGACATTTGTAGAGTGAAGTTTAGATGGTTGAAATTTGTATTTACAAAAAGAAATCTAATAAAAAAAGTTCTGCAATATTACCCTTGCGCTCTAATCATTCTTTAAAAAAAAATTCAATAGCAATTCTTAGAAAAATATCGCATTACAAAAAAAAAAAATAGCAGTGTATAAACAAGAAGACAAGAGTTCTCGCCGTTTTAATCACTGTCTCCTGCAACCTGTAAAACTTTTTCTCCGGGAATGTAAGAACACTTCGACAGCAACCAGCAGACGCGATCTGCAAACTACCAGAACAGCTGAGGTCAGTACAGAGGGTGCACCTATTCTTGGGGCACCTCCACAACACCGATAAAATGTTCTTAGCTCGCTACACGAATACATTCGGGCAGCGGGAATCTCGAATAAAATGGGTCCCACCTCAAATCCCTTCTCCCCTTCCAGGCCAGATAATTAAAATCAAAACACGAGATCGTACTAGGTTGACAAAAAAAAAAAAAAAACTATTTTACGACTACAAGTATAGTGTGTCCCTAACGGACTAAATCACTGTAAAACGAGCCGGAAAAATCGGCGCCTCCGCATAAAAAAACTCAAAGTTTCATTCAATGTGACCTTAGGGGTGCGGATTTCACCTCGTGAAATTTCGAGACGTAAGTCTTTTTTTTTGTGTGGAAAATTTGTGAGATGAAGAAACTTGCCGGGGTCAGCAGCGGATGTGTTAGCAGACGAGCGAGTTTTGCGTCATCTTCCGATAGACGCAGCGAGCAGACGACGTTGTGTCTATCGTCTGCAAGTTAGATGCGAGTGTTCATGCAACGTGATCGGTCTCCCAGAGCATGGCGACGCTGGATCGCGCTGAAGACGCGAAATTTAGCCAGCGCAGTATATGAATGCCAGCCTGGGATTTGTATAACGCGAGTCACCCAGTAGTGGTACGCGAGCACACGCCGGTACAACGCTCATCCAAATCAGAATTGGCAGGGGTAGTGATGGAGCCTAAAACCTCCTTGGTTCCGCAGCTGCGGTACGATAACACACTCGAACACCGTAAGCGAACGCAATGCTGTAGCAGCAGATGAGATGCTCTCCACGCACAAACGTGTGGCTACTGATTTGAACCGATTCCAAGCTTGAATACGTTTGATATAGTGAATCCGGTGAAAAGATTGATGTCTTCTACCTGGAGCAAATGCGTCAACAAAACGAAAAACACTTACGCAACCCGTAAGTTGAAACACAGTGACAGCTGAGGTGTGACTTCAGAGCCGCTAAGGTGCCATTCCGGAGCAGATAGACTCAACGAAAGGTGAAGGTGTGAGCGCACACCATACAGGGTGTTTCACGAAAGGTGGGCAAATTCGATATTGCGAAGGCTACGCGCCGCAAAAAAAAAAAAAAAAAGGCTTGTGTTTATTTGGTCCTGGGCCAGAGGACTACTTAGGAAAATGATGAAAGTCCGGGATAATTAGATTGTTAATTATTTTCGCATAGTTAACTTTCTTAATATTGTGCTTAGTTAAGGGCATGGTTTCAATTAGAAAATTGCTCAGCATCATCGAAAAACACTAAATCAACAAATTGCAGAATGACAGAAGGCACGCACATCATTTTACTGCTTTCTGAAAAACCGCGCAAATTCGGTGGGCTTTTGTTTGCAAACGGAGCGCATCTCGGCCCCGACGGCACCGCGCCCCGTGGAAAAATAGTGCAACCAGCCTCTTCTGCGTTGCGCGAAGACAGCGCAGTTTTGCCGGAATGCCAAAAATGGCCCGCGTCAATATGGAGCGCGGTCGACGGGGCGAATCCGCGAAGCATCGAACAAACAACTATTGCTGTAAAAAAAAAAAAAAAAAGGCGTTTGGCACACATGTGTCACCCGCGAGAACAAAAGTTGCAGTTCACTGAAACGTCGCTTTCGCATTCTATCGTTGCCTCGTTGTTCTCAATAAAAAAAAAAGTAATGTATGCTTGAACGCACACGTATCAGCGCACATGCGGCATATCGTACACATAGACACACACACACACAGGTCCCATAGAAACACGCACACGTCCCACCACACAGATTAAACACAGACACACACAAAAAAAGCACTCACGCGCACACACTCACTGACTCACACGCACAAAAACACACACACAACTCCTGCCGGTATATATGCGTTGCCTATAGGCTATAGGCAACGCATATATGTACACGCTTTACACGCGTGTCAGATTACAGCCGTCATTGCTGACATTCTCTTGTCTTATCATACACCGACCCCCTTAAACGGGCGTTGGCGAACCTCCACAAAGGCCAATGACGGGGAGAAGGACACAGTAGAATCTAAAATGGCAATAACCTGCCCTGCTATGGTAATGATGAAGTGAAGTAAACGAAATAAACGGAAACAAAAATGACCGCATCTTCACGTGGTGAATCATGTTGATTGGGGCGAAGCTCTGGTGGTGCTTGTCTGCGTAAACGGTGAGCCGCGCAGCATGCCGAGCCTTTCGTTCGTTTTCATCCATGTCAGAAAGGGAATGTATGGTATGGAACATGGGGTGCTATGTTGCGCTTTTTGCACTCCCAGGAGACTTGGAAGAGGGAAGTGACGTCAACGACACAGCAAATGCAGATTGGATGTTGACAGAAGAAAACGAAATCAACACCCAATCTGCGTTTGCTGTGTCGTTGACGTCACTTCCCTCTCCCTAGTCTCCTGGGAGTGCAAAAAGCGCAACATAGCCCCCATGGTTATATACGCATTTGGGAATTTGACCGCAGCGCCCTCTCGTCTATAAACGTTGAGCCAATGCATGCAAAGTTTAACGCGATTATATACGCATTTGACCGCAGCGCCCTCTCCTGTATAGACGTTGAGCGGCTACATGCAACGTTTCATCCATGACATCCCCAGCTCTTTAGTTACTACCACATCTCAGAGGCCCCTACTCGTCTCGCAGTCGTGGCCGAGTGGTTAAGGCGATGGACTATACTTCATTTCACTTTCTCTGCGAGCGAAGCCAAAGCTAGAAGCGCGAGACCAGCGCTTTTTGCGTTTCTCCCCAGCTCGCGCGCTCGAGCAAAGCCTGAACGCACGGAGCTTTCGTGCTCGCGCTTCAGCTTTGCGTTCGCTCGCACATAAGGTGAAACGAAGTATAGAAATCCATTGGGGTCTCGCCGTACAGGTTCGAATCCTCTCGACTGCGCAAACATCGCTTTTTTTTTTCATCCTTTTTTTTTCTTTTTTTGCCCTACGCGAGCGCCTGAGCACGTGAGCTCAAGAGCACGATCACGAGCACGAGCGCCAGCAAGATCGATGCGAGTCCGGGCGCTGGACGGACAAGGCTAGACCCTAAGGAGCTTCACCCCTAAAACTGAAGGGCGATTATGGCAACGCCCATGCACAGCTGCTGCTCAGGAAATGCTCACGCTCTCTGACACATGTGGTCGTCGCACTCGCTCCAGCCATCTCGAATAAAGCAAGGGCGCGCAGAACCCTCCCACCGCTCTCAACCGATGCAGCGAAACCTGGAAGCATGAGCGTAGAAAACGACACGTCCGTCACCAGGAACGGAGCTCTCGCCGATGCGACTGAAGACGTCGTGGTGACACTAGATGACATCGAGCGTCTCGCGGGCGCCAATCGACGCCCGGGCTTCTTGGACTACTACGACGGTGGTGCGGGCCAAAAGCAGACGCTTCTAGAGAACACGGCGGCGTTCATGAGGTGCGTACACACTAAACTTTTTTACACCCCTTAGGGGTGTAAAGCACTTGTCCCAGGACGAGCACCCTTTGAGGGTGCAAACGAGCACCCCTGTACCAAAGCACCCTATAGGGGTGTGAAGTGTATAGGGTGCTAGGTGCAATGGACCCCAATCCAAGGGTGCTGATGCTGATTTTAATGGGTGCTCGAGGATGATTCATTCTAATCGAAATAGACTTTTGTAAAACAAAACTTATCTTATTCACACAGATGATCTCGTTACAGATGAGCACTTAGCCAAGCCGACACTTTGTACAGGCAGGCTGGCACTAAAAGTGGACTATTATCTAAAATTAGTTGATTAACTTTTTCAATTACTGGTTCGACAGCTGTTTCGAACTTGAAGACAATCACCTCCTTAAACCAGTCATTTTTTTATAAATCCTGAAATGAGCACACAGGCCAAAAAAAAAAGAGAAAATATAATTTCACCAAAGGCAGCGGTAATGTAGCGCTCCAGAAAGTACTGTATCTCACAACCCGTTTTGTGTGCAAGAATCTTTCTCAATCGTTTTTCTAAGGTTAGTGCTCATCTCACGAAAAATAAGCTGGTCTAAGGTGACTGCCCCATTTTCACAATATGTGCTGGTGTCATCAAACCAGTCACTAAAAAGCTAATCCATGGATTTTATGCAATAAGTCCACTTTTAGCTGTCATCTTGCCTCTATAAAGTGTCTGCCAGGACCACTATAACTCAACTGTAAAAAGATAATTTGCATAAAACTGAAGTTTTATTTTACAAGAATCTGTTCCAATGAGAATGAATCACCCTGTATCTCAGCACCTGTCAAACTGGGTTCAGTATACCAGGTATGGCAACCAGAAAACCACGAAGTATGCAGACCAGATAAGTGATGAAATAAGGAGATGCAAAAGTACAGTGCCAGCATAGGACCTCGTTACAGAAACTGGATTCATTATTTGATATGTGTGCAATGCATCGGCACACATGCTACTTGAAGCAGCTGTGCCTAGATGCACTGTCCGATAATGAAGGCAAGATGTGCATGGCAGAAAAGGTAATATTTCAATGTGAAGCTTAACTTATGTGCAAACGGAAGTTACAGGAAAATCTTGCGTGATTTAAGTTTTAGTTCCCACAAAATTTGGAAGGAAAATAAAAAAAATATCCCAGAATTTGTTCCATGGCTAAAGCTTCTGAATTTATTAATTGCTCGATGGTCTTAATACTCATATACTAGAAAAGATCAGTGGGAGATATTCTCAAACATCATATTAAAGAAGGAGTCTGCCACCAATCTCAATGTGTCATTAAAAGTGTCCAATTGTCAAACTGCCAACACAGAAGTGTGATATGCATCACATGCATGATCAGCACTTGCTCATGCAAACTATGCAATGTGAGAAAGTGTATGGTACAAACATAAACAACAAGGAGCTTAGCTTGTTCAATCCCGATACTTGGTCCTTGCATCCCGCTCTGGCTCGTCGGTCATTTGCCTTGCATATGAGGTGGTTACGAGTTGTCATACTTGGTATGCCGTAGTACCTTTACACATTCGCCCAAGGCATGGCGAGTGGCATCAGCTGCATACAAACAGCATGTGATTAAGCTGCAAGTAAATAAAAGTTGTTATAAAATGAGAAACAAAAAACTGAAAGGAAAACTATATTAATAACTATTTATTGAGCTATTATGCCACCACAAAAAAATAATGAGGTATGTCCTCCACACACATATCAAAATACAATACTTGAGGCATTCCGTCAAATATCACAGCATATATAGGCCTAGATGCTAGTAAAAAATTGAGAAACAATTGGGGGGTTTGAGTCAATAAAAGCCAAATTAAATGAATACTCATTTATTGAACTATTATGTGAGCACAACAAAATAACCAGCTATGTCCTCCATACAAATAAGCAAATATATTTTCTTTAAATATCACAGCATAGGCTTAAGGTGCTAGTAAAAATAAGAAAAAAAAAACAAAAATCAATACAGATTACCTCAGTACATCACAATGGTTCTTGATAAAAATGACTATAACAGAAGAACAATCTAGATGCCTTCCGTTTCGAGTGTATACTTTTTGTTCCATTGCACATGCGACTTTCATTCAGGACCCTAAAGTTGCATAAAAATCAAGCTACACTTCTTTTAGTTTAGGACTTAAAACATTAAAACAAGCTACCATATTTTCCAGACTATAGTACACAATCCGTTGTATAATGCGCAAGGGTAAATTTCGGCTAAAAAGAAAAAGTATTTTCTTAGATAGTCTGCACTCGGTGTATAATCCTCGGGGAAAACTTCAGGCTGGAGAACTCCACAAACGGGATATCTGCGGATGAATGTCAGGGGGCTTTCTGTGATCCGCTCGTCAGCCAATCGCAGAGCTCCTCAAGATTAAGCTTGACCTGAGTTGGTTGCTTGCAGGCTCCCAAGCAAACATGTCAGATGCGAGGTATCGAAAGCCTGGGAAACAGACTGACAGTAGGAGGTTGTCTTGATTACTTTATCCCAGCGTAAAATATCTAAAACACGGCAATCTGGCCTAACCAGTTTTGTAATAATGAACAATCTCTGTACGATGTAAAATATCAACTTTTAGACATGCATAGTTTGTGCACTATAGTCTGGAAAGTATGGTACATTTATTTTAGTTTAGAGTTAGAAAGTTAAATGGGTGCTGGTACTGAAATTTGACTTCACAAAACAAGGCACCAGAAGCACACAGTGGGATGCTACAGACCCCAAAACACCACTCATGCAGCAGTATCTCAACTGGATGGGCATATTTTCGAAAAAGAGAAGAGGAGAATACAGATGTCGCAAGCTTTGTTCAATCATGCTCATATTTTCCAAAAAGTACTGCCATCCATTAGAGATACCGTCATATGAGTTATGTTCTAAGGTTTGCAGCATCCCACCTAGTGCTCCTGCCTGGTTTCGTGCCATCCAAATCTCGGTTCAGCATCCCTTTGGTACTAGAACGGTTGTTTGTCGGCCTCATTGATTTTACGCTCTTGCAACCTTGTTCAGGAATTTCATCACAACTGGCCTCGAAGTAGTGCTACTGAGCCCGACAAACAACCGTTCTAGAAGAGCAACTGTGTTTGCTGCCTTTTTCAAGTACTTATATTAAAAAGCCAGTAAGCCACCATGATGGCAGTGATGTCGTCCTGTGCATTCTTCACGGACAAAAACCGCTGCTTATCGACAGCGAGGTACAAAAAGTCAGCCCCCTCGGCGTCATTGCCAGAGTACACGACGCACGGCATTGCCGGGATGTCTTGCTCCTGTGTTAGCAAACAAAATCAATGCAATGTAAGGCAGGCACCATGCGTGATAGTCTTCTCTAAATCATCACAGTTAATATATTACTATCTACCAGCGAGCTAGTCCACTGTTATTTGCTATAGTCACTTGATCTATGTTAAATATGTAATACCCCCACCCCCTGCAGGCCTGATTACACTTGTGCAGAACGCAACTTAGACAAGTGGCAGTAAATCATGCTTTCCCAGCACTGAAAAATATGCAAGATCGTCAGTGCAACAGGGACACCTGCATTATCTCTGCGATTAGTAAAATTTCGGCAATGCTAGCCAGAAGTCTGGTTCCACATAGAGACGTAAACGTTGCTTTGGCTTGCTCATTGCAAAAAAGCCAGAATCAGTCAACAGGAGCCCAGATTCTCCTTGTATGATCTCCTGATCTGCAATTACTTCACCTCCCATGTACATTTTGGCCAAAATATTTTGCTTTAGATGGTTAGAAACCTTGTGGAAACTACTTTTGGCCATGATATTTCCAACCATCAGTGTGTCAGGAAAGACAGCCACTGGATCTTTTGTACCTTTCTAGAAGAGTGTGCCGTGCAGTGATTAGAAAGCTTGTTTGTCGAAGTTGTAGTCAAACATGTGAAGCAGTGCCATCAGCATCATATTGGCTCCCCTGAGACCATGCGACTTCTAAACATCACCTCCAACTGCATAACTTTGCTAAACTCTGATCTAGATGAAGGCTAAACTAGGTACAAGCATGGAACATGGCTCTATCTGTTGTGCAAGAAAGGTGCTAGTTTGTAATGTACTGCATTCTTGGCTGCCATTAAAAAAAAAGAAAATGGAAAACTTTAATAAGATGGTTACATTCACAATTGCATATGGGTGATTCCACGTCAGTTCATGCAATGGTGGTCCGGGTCATAATTTTATGATATTTTTGTTAAAAATATATATGAAAGCCATGTTCTTGGGAGGAACATTCCGCTATATATGAACGCCGTAACGTTTTTTTTCGCTGAGATATAAAATAGAGAAGCTCGAGGCGTGGAAATTGAGAATATTTCACTATGCTACTTTGCACAGTCGTCATTTTCTCATCGAAGCTTTCACGTTACCATAACTTTTTTAATAAATTTCACAAAAGATATACAACACATACCCAAAAAAGTAAAAATATCATTAACATATTTCTATGCAAACAAAAAAGTCAAACATGGCATAAAAACACGTTTTAGAGACATATTCACAATTTTTTTTGCAAATAAACTATCCTCTATAATACTTCACGAAACATATCAAAATGCGCGCCTTTGAATTATCTTTACGAATGTATAAAGATAATATGGGCCCATCCTTAATTGTCTTCTTGTTATTAACGCGGAAATGCGGCTGATTTCACAAAATGTGTCAAGATTGGGCGTCGATATTTAAAAAAACTCCATCTTTTATTTTTTTAAAACTCCCCTTGGCAGTTTGCAGTGACATGAACTAACCTGTGATGGCAAAACATTGAGTAACATATGACCTCCGAACGGGAAAAGCTGCGACAAACCTTCACTCGGAATGAGCCGACGTCTCTTTATAGCGGCTTTGCCGCATAACGTCCCCTTGATGGAAGCGTCAAAAGCTGGAAAGCGGGACTCTGTCGTAGAGAGC